TTAAGCTGTGCCTAGCTGGGCCGCAGTTTGAGGAGGGTCGAGCCGCACAACTTATATGAACCTTTGAACTCGACCCGCATTTTCATGCATTTTTATACTTTAAATCGAAATAATAATGGCGGAGTGAATTTTGTAATAGGACCAACCATTTAAGTTAGCGTTTTTCATTTATGTACTGGTTACAAACTGGTTGAATATATGTACTGATTTCTTTTACTGGGAGTTTTACTTCAGCTATAATGTTCTTTAATAAATAATGTGACTTGCAATCACTTCTGTAAAATTAGTAAAGAATTGTTGAAAGTGTGTGAAAGCCATGCTGTGACACAAACAAAATGAACCGGGCTGGCCTGGCTCAACCGGGGTGATACTTACAACCTCAAAGAAAACCGACGTAAAACAAATGTTGAGTTGTTTTTCTTCTTGGAAATCGAGGTTATCGAAGGCCTCAACCGCGATTCTCAATTCATCAAATTATTAAATACATATTTATCTTTTAAAGGACTGTGGCTTGTAACTAGCCTAGAATTGCGGGTGTCTATGGGCGATGACGATTGTTTACAATCAGGTGGTGCGTTCGTGTGGTGTGGTGGTGTCGTGGTGGCCCGGAGGTTAAGGAGCCTGCTTCTCATACATGAGGTGTGGGTTCACAACCTGGCAAGTACCAATGTGACTTTTTCCGAGTTATATGTACTTTCTATGATTATTTAGACGCCACTGACATACGGTGGAGGTTAACATCGTGAGGAAAGCTGGACTTATAATTTCTAATTATAAGTTTGAAATGGCCAACCCGCATTAAGCAAGCGTGGCGATTAATGCTCTAACCTTCTCTGTATGAGAAGAGGCCTTTGGTCAGTGGGAACTTTAGGCTGATGATGATGATGATGCGTTTGTTTGTTTTTCCGCCTTATCCCAAAAACAATAGCGACAATTGTTTTGAATTAATAAACTCTATTATAATTTCATGCTTCACTTTACTATTCATACAGACAAATGTTCTACAGCAAGCTAATGAAAAAAAAATCCCTGAAGTTTTATTGCCAACAATTTTAATTATAGTTAACTGCATACAAAACGGAACACAAATAAGTCAGCATTTGTTAGTGTGAGTTTAACAATAGATTAATCAGTAGTTATCGTGTTAAGAGGCCTTAAGTTCCTTCATAGAACTAAATGATTCGCTGATAGCACGCGAGCGCTAGTGACCTTAGTATAAACGTAAATTTTGCATGGTACTAACAAAATTGCTATAATTAGTATAGTTTTGGAAATTCTGTGCTTTGATAAAAAAATTGACACTCAAGCAGGTATACATGAAATATCATATAAGAGCCTGTTCGTGATATTTATGTACGTGGGTGACAATGCAAAAGAATAAATTTATTCCTACTTTCTTCTCTTGGGTATGAAAGAGAAAGAGAGAGAATCATTTTCAAACTAAAATGTTCAACCTGCTTGCCATCGTGGGTTCATGGCTATCCTATATATCCGTCCGTTTTTACTCACTCAAATAAAGTAATCGAGTAAAGCCTGACAACGTTCAAGTAACAACGGCACTTCTATCATCATCAGCCTATACGTGCCCACTGCTGAGCAAAAACCTCTTCTCATACGGAGAAGGTTAGAGCATTAACCACCACGCTTGCTCAATGCAGGTTGGTGATTTCAAACTTATAATTAGAAATTATAAGTCCAGGGCCTCGAGTCTGCTATTACAACAGTGTCAGAATAGTAGTTCACTGATTTCAAAATTGTCGATTTTGACAAGTTTGGTAATCTACTAACACGATAGCGTCATTATGACTTTCTAATGCCACTTCATTGAAATAATTCTTTAGAACGGTAATCTCGTACATAATGACAAATTAATATTTGACATAATGCGGTAAATTTAAAAAAAAAGAACAGTTCCTTTATTCAATGATTTACGTTTAGAATATTAATGTGCAGTTATTGTTTATAATTCGTTACAAGACATCTCGTACTGTATATAATTCTATTACGACATCGCTGAACGCCAATGATCAGCCATTTTAAATTAACATATTACGAACTTTTAGCAAAATGACAATGGAATCGTGTAGGAATGACAACACTGAAAATAGTAGACTCGGGCCCCAGGTTTCCTGACGATGTTTACCTTCACCGTATGTCAGTGGTGTCTAAATAATCATAGAAAGTGCATATAACTCGGAAAAAGTCACATTGGTACTTGCCAGGTTTTGAACCCACACCCTCATGCATGAGAAGCGGGCTCCTTTACCTCCAGGCCACCACGACATAGTCATTAATCTATACTAATATTATAAAGAGGTAAAATTTGTAAGTTTGTAAGTTTGTATGTAGGGGGTAATCTTTGGAACCACAGGTCGGATTGCCAAAATTCGTTCACTGATAGGTAGCTACAATGTTCCTGAGCGCTATAGGCTATAAAACATCACGCTACGATTAAATGGAGCCGAGCAGCGGGTGAAACTACGCGAGAGTACCTAGTTTACTATATAATCGGGCGACGCTATAATCATATCGCGTTTGCTTTCTATAAATGTCTTACATAGTTATAACATAAAAACGCTCCTTAGAAGAGAAGGCTCAAAATGGCCCAGCAGTAGAATTTCGCAAGGATTAGATTAGTTGTAGAGTTATTCTCTAAAGTTATATAAAAGATTGTACGGTTGGCATAGTGGCTGGGCAACTGGCTGTTGTGCAACGTGTCGTGGATTCGGCTCCCATACGGAACAACTTTTTGTGTTGCGATGCAGAACCACAAGTTTTTGTTCTGGGTCTGGTTGTAAATAACACGTGATTTTATGTATTTGTGAATGCACTCTCAACACGGGAGATAAATAATTTTTAAGCAAAAAAATATTCCGACTTCAAAAAGTAAACTAAAAAGCATAAAATAAATTTTCTTTGTAGAAATTAATACATGTTTTCATCTAGTTTAATAAAAAATAGTATTAATAACCATTTTATAATCTTGAATTCACAGACAAAAAAAAAAAACAATCAGCCGAACATAGTACCTCCTCCTTTTTTTGAAGTCGGTAATACTAATGCAGGGCGACGTTTGTTTTAGACAAAGTATTAAATTTAAATTGTGTATATAAAATATAATAGTTTCTACTATACAGTATGTTCATAAATCTGTCAAAAGCTTAAACGACGTACTAGTCTCATTCATTTACAATTAGGACTTTTAGTAATGAATATTAATTGGTAAAATGTGTTGACAACGGCTGTTGACATTACACTGCTATTTAATTAATTGAATTGGAATAGGATTAAATGTATTTGTAGAAACTAACGGATTGTTCAATGTTAACATAATTGCGTGATTTGTACTTTAATTTATGTTTGTTTTGGTGATTTAAGGTTTTATTTTCATTATTGTCTTTTTATAATTAATGAAATGTAATTTAGGTTTACTTTTTGTTCGTAAACGGCTGATTTTCCAATAGTCGGAAAAACGTTATCTAAGGAATAAAATTGTTGGCGTCACTGTCTTATACAAACATTCTAACGCGACAGCATCATAATTATTCCCCAGATAACTTTTATCGAACCATTGAAAAATCAGCCCTGAATGTTTTCAATTCATCTTTTTTTGTTTCCTAAATTAATTTACTTATGTTATCAAACCTTTTTTGGGAATAAATACGACTCCTTAGACAAAATTAACTTTAGAATAGAGGCAACCAAGTATACCGATCACCTGATGGTATTTGAGTTTGTATATGACCACTATGAGGTGTTTCATCCATACCCGCAGCACCATAGAAGTCACAGGTGCATTGCTAGTCTTTATTTAAAAATTGAATGATTAATCGTGATTGATTGAAGCGATTGGCACGGACTAAATAGCAGTTTTATGCGAAGTTCTTGAATGGGCAAACAATCAAAATATCTATATAACTACATAGTTTAACTTAAACTAACAACTTACCGAACGACAAGAAATACGCTAACACACAGTTAGGAATCAAACCAAGAATTAAATGGATGTTTACAGCTAATAGTCCCGACTTGTGAAGTGAGTTCTCGTCTAAGTTACTGACTTACGCTTAGCGATGAATTAAACTTAGCTGACAACTTCTACGCAGTTCCTATGCATGTGTCTGTGTCCCAAGTCATATTTAATAGTAACATATTGAATTTATAGATTGTATCTTAGCTAGTGTATTGAGTTACTAGACTATTAAGATCCCGCCTGGCGTATGGAACCATCAAGATATGTTGCGGTGCGTACAATATGAATTGACTGGCTTCAGTTATTGAGTTACGTGTATGACAGGTCATTGTCCTTTATTGAATGTTAGAGGGAACTATTTATTTGATAGAAATAAGACCAATACAAGAGGAGACACGCATTAGTATTTTTTGCTTAGCTTATTTACCTTTCGATAGTAAGGAATGTGATTGTGAAAGTAATTGAAAAAGAGTAACTCTACAATTTCTTACTTAATGTATATATATAGTATGTATGTATGTAAAGTGTATTGTGTATATTTTTATATATATTTTTGGTAAATTTAATAGAATTTGCTTGCTTCTTGCACCTGCAACTAGATTATCTCTGCATCACCCAAAGGTAGACTGGTAGATAATGCTAATTGCATTAAGTCCGCCTATGTACAGTGTTCTGTGCATAAAGTCTCAAATAAATAAATAAATACTCCTTCTTCTCCATCGGAATCTAATGATTTGAAAGAACAAATACCTTCACTAAGAGGACTGACGGACGGACTGCCATTTCTTGTTTGACTGTTCAAAAGTGCCTTTAAAACGATTGATATAGAAAAAAGATATCGAACTTTATTCAAGTTAAAATGTAAAATGCGACTAGGCTTACAGTTGTATTAACTGACTACTTTAATTTCCTTTAATTTCACTTTAGACTTTAGAAATAAAAGGGTTAAAAAATTAAAAAATACACATAGCTTAGCACATAAATAAAATACAAATAATTGAGGTTTTACGAAAAATTATAATCATACCTTTAGTCTTTCCTTGTGGGCCTCCTCTTGATATAATGTCACCTCCGTCCTCTCTGCGCCAAACTATCTTGGGTGGAGGATATCCCCTGGCTTTGCAGACTAGCTTCGCAGAACCACCTTCTGGTACCATCATGTCTCCAGAAGTTTCTTCATAGATTATGTCTGGAGGAATAACTACTTCCAGAAATGCGGTCTGAAAATTTTGTCTTGTATTAATATTCAGGTCTTAGTAGCACTGGCCTTTATCACTAGTATGTATTCTCGCGATACAATTCAATATACTCAATAGTTCTTAAAAAAACAATGATTGTATCACTAAAATTAATGATCATTATTTCAGAACGTTTACGGGTTGCATGTTGCGCCTGTCGCATGCATCGTTATTCCGATAATATAGCGTCAATACTGTTTTCGGAGAAATGACACCATTACGCGGCAAGCCGATAAGGCGTATTCACAAACAGCAAGAGTTGTTTCCGAAAAACTACTATCATTCCCGTTACGGAATACCACAGCACACGAAGTAACAGTAGCAATGCACATACACGGCATACTCACTCTGAAATAAATCCTGAGAAGGAACATTTAATGGCTGGTATTAGCAGCACTTTACCTGCATTTTCATTGGGTCAGTATTAACTTGGCACATATATTGTCCTCTGTCCTCCCGCTTCACACCCCTAATGTTGAGCGTCCACGTGTTGTAGTCATTGTGCGTGACGCTCAGCCGTGCATTGTTCGTTATCACGTGCTCGTGTATCGCCAGAATCGCCTTCGTGTCCGCTTTGATCCACGCTACCTACCCGCGGCAATCCGTGCGCGAGCAGACAACCAAAAAATTTGGCGCCCAAAGTGTGCATGGAGGAAAAACTCTTGTAAGTACATTGAAAAATAAAAATGGCACACAAACGCCGCATTCCTGTCACGAATATCCGATTCACGTGTGATGTTTTGTTTGTAAACAATGAAGACTTTCAACGAACAAGTCTAATTACAAGCGAATGCTTCCCAAGAGGCAGTCACGACAACGATCCTCGAGCCAGCAACACTATCTTGTTGCGAGCGCCGCGCAAAATGCTCTCGGAATTTTTAATTACATTTTCGTCTGGTCGCCGCCATGAGGCGGGCTGTGGGCGCACTGAAAACGCCCTCGTTTCACCCGCTTTACCAAAAGCGTCGACATCGCAATAGAAGCTAATTTCCTGCATAGCGCGTAACAAAAAAATACGAACAGAAATACGGCGTTTGTACTTGACTACGATACGCGTCGCTCTCTGTATTACTTTATTATTGAAAATATTATTTGGAGCGATGTTTTTTCGTAATTCCTACTGAATGTAAAAGTCAGTACTTTCCATTCAAACATTTCGCTGAAAGAGTAAATCGGAATCAGCTTGTACAATTCACTGTGTGCCTCTGAAGCTTGCGATTTCAATCAATTAAAATGTAATATTGAAGATTGTTTTTGGGGAACTTATTAATTTAACATTTAATACGTTACATAAGTGAATAGAGAAAGTGCAGGAAGAAGTGCACTAATAGAGGTGCGACTTAGAAAGTGTTCTACATTCGTATAGTGCTTGTGCAACTCTAATTAGTCACTAATTAGGTGCCTAGAGACTACAATCAGAACAAATATAACTAAAACATCGTAGTGCTTGAACACAATATTGTCCTGTACAAACAGCTTTACAATTCCTTCAATTAGCTTTATCTGCGTTTTTGAAATGAGCGAAGAAAGGATTGCAGAGCTGTTGTGCGATGTAATTTCATTTTCAAAAGGCTTTAGAAATTGCATCGCATAAAATTAAATATTATAAAAATAAAAGGATAATAAAGACAGTAGATATATTTACCAAATTTTGAACTCATCCATACCAGCGGTGCATATCGAAGATGTGTTTAAATTTTTTGAATTATTTGTGTGTTATGTATTGAGGATGTATTTATTGTGTTATAAATTTGAAACTTACACACGGCGACTTTGTGTTAAAAGTCCATTAATTTCAAGACAGTTTTTAAAATTTCAATGAGTGAAATTTATTCTTACCGCAATTTTAAAAATAAGTGACAATTCTTAAAGTTATTTTTAAGTATGTTTGTTATAAATTGAGACGCGAATTCGAGGAAAAACATATGAAATTATTGTATTTTATATTTATGTCTCAATCGGTAGTCATTCCGTATATAACTATCGTGTTGATACGATTCTCATCCCGATAGTCACGTGGGAATCGCTGAGAAACACATGCGAGGATGTTATTAGTCTTGTGTAATTACTTACGCGGGATCGATATAGAAAAACAAATATGTATCGATACGGAGAATCGATAGTCGTGTAGGAATCGAGTGACCTGAGCTAACGGCCCCAGTGAGACTATTATCGAATCTTGTTTCACGTAGAGGAAACATTCGAGAATAAGTATATGTGTACGGTTTTATTGCACAATCTTTTGTTCCGATTTCTAACGAATTGTGTTGCTTTGTTAGATAAATCGAATAGATTTATTATTAACACATTACATTTAGTATTTTCCTCTATTAACCCTTTGAATGTCGGTATACATAGAAAATACATTTTGTCTCACGTGGATCCATGTCTAAAACATACAAAAGGTCAATGTTAAAGAAGGAGACATGCAAGAAAGATATCATAAGTTAAATGTTTTATCTTTTACCGTATTGCAATACAAAATGTGTGCAAACTACTGTAATCTCTGTAGCAATAATAAGATTGTTCGCAATTTTACGGCCGACACTCGATTTGATACAAGGCAGGATATATCGCACACGATACGGTGTCGTATATCATAATGATAGTATACTAGATTAACTCCCGGGACAGTTTGAGAGCACCGCCTCTCGAAATGATTGAACGGGGACCAAGGGGGTTTGTCCTGGCTTTATTTTAATTTCCTAAAGTGACTGTTTTGCAACGTAAATTCCTTGGACTAAAGTGATCCCTTCATAGCCGGCTGCGGTTTTTGTCCGACAATGATTGACTAACGTAAAACCGTCAGACGTGCATCGCTAAATTATATTTTATTTTCAAATAAAAACGTCAGTTGGGAAACAAAGTGCAATTGTTAAAAAAGCATGCTAAAAACGTGTGTTCGAAAATAAAACGAAATTGTGCATTAGTGTTTAAAACCCAAGAATAGTGCCGTTCGTTCACTGTTGCATAAATCACTGTTTTTATCACATTCTTGGATCTTAGTCTCTATGTGCAAGTGTTAGTGTCTAATGCAGTTGTGCACAGTGTGCCAACACTACGGCTATGTGGACAAACTTAGAGTAGACTTGTGCAAATATAGTACCGGTGTTACTCTATTCTAGGATAGAGATCTATAAAGTGGTGCTGTGAGTTTCGAAGAGTGCCGAAGAAAGTGCATTGAAGGTAGTGTGCTAGGAAGTGTGAAAGTAGTGCAGTCTATTCGCTGAGATCTATAATTTTATGAGTTTCCAGTAAAGTTGTTGTATGGTTCTGTTTGTTATATTAATCTTGAATCGTGACCTTAGTTTAGAAGTACGAGCAAAGTCTTAAAAATGTATTTTTTCAGTATTGAAAGAAGAATAAACATTGTTCAATAAGGAGTTACTTACAATAGGCAAATAAGAAAATCTAAATTGAAACGATGGCATGCCTTTCTGAACTATGTATGTAGAAGGCATTCAAATACTACATAGGTAGAAGTTAAAGAAAAAAAGTTAAGAGATAGTGTAGTATATAGTACCAATATAGTCTTAGACATAACACTACAATTAGATAAACAGAAAAAAAAAAGAAAATTTACTGGAAAATTTGATTATAGATCTCATAGTAAAAGTGCTGTGACGGTGCTCCTCTAGGGTTAGCTGTAATGAGTCGGTTTGATACACACCCTGGCTGTGGCGGAGTCGCCACTCACCCTGTAACCGCCAAGGTTATTCACCACGCAGGTAAACATCGCGTCCCGACCTTGAGCGATGGTCACGTTCTCCAATGGATACAAGAAGTCCGGCTCCAGACCTAGGGCTGCAACAAATATTATTATTAGTTCGTAGTCATTTCATTTATTACGATAAGTTAATATTCGGTGTTTTAATAACTGTATCTACTGTATTTTCTGGCGTACAGGACTTGCAACGGCAGAAGGATTGTGGCGGGGTCGTCCTGTTAAAAAAACGTAAAACTATATCCATATTACCAGGGATGGCCCAACATGACTATGCTTTTATGGTGGCGTACTTTTCAATAGTTTTTAAATTAAGTTTTTCCTATATTGGTATTTGAACCTGTGGGTAAATAGAATAAATAAATAACGTTGAGAACATTAGCTAAAATAGGAGTCGTTTAAAAAAAAAATATCGGTTTTAGTAGCTTTACCCTAGCTTTAGATAAGTGACGAGTAGGTATCCACGAGGTAGTCCCGTATTTACTATTGTTTGTTATTAAATGAAATAGAAGAATGTGAAAAATAATACAAATGAATTTATTTTCTTAATACATCAATAACTCTAGAATTGAGTATATTCAGTTACTTACTATCTACTTAGCTATAATGCTAAATCGAAAATGGACTTAGTAGCAATATTTTCAGATTTTAAAGTCGATTGAAGCTATCGTTGGATTCTCGGAAGTCTCAAAGCAAATAGGAATGCCGTTTTTATAGGAGAAGAAAGTTATAAGCTTTCACAGTCGAGTCGTTTCTCCTGAGATTAAGCTAACCTCGGATTTACAACGCTGGCGTTCCAACGGGTTATTCTAGTACTCCTATGACCTTTTATGCGAGAAATTTAAACTGCATGCACGAATTTTTATTTCATTTGTTTTTCGTTTTAGGAGATTTAAGGATCAATTTGGCTTGGCAAATTATTTGTTCCAATTATGAATATTACTAGCTTCCGTGGCTTCGCCAGCATACTATATTGATAAAAACTCGGCCCAACCATCTTTGCGTCAGCCAGGGTTGCGGGGTAAGCGCAACGAGGCACCGCGACCTCGGGCCCAGAGCAGGAGAAGGAACAGGGGGGTTTTGGTCAGTAAGAGTCTGACACTCACTCCAACCCGGCCCTGGGCGGGAGAAGTCATTTGATGATTTTCCCCTCACAAAAAAGCCATCTTTGGAATCTTCAAATACATACATTTCCATTAACTTTCACATTAATTATATTAAGTAGGACTATAGATTATTAATGTAGGATTAGACGTTTTGGTGTCATAAAAATGTAGAGACGGACCGTAGGTCAAGATGCTTTTTCATTCAAGAGGCCTTTGATTAGCAGTGAGCATCTATATAGGCTGATGAGAGTGATGATATGGTAATTTTTTTACATCAATTATGGTTTGAAGTTAGTAATCAAGTATTAGGGAATACTTAGTAGAAGTGATACATCTTCCTAGATGCAAAGATTTTATTTCTTTTGTAAGTAAATGTCTTAAATATCTACTCGAGTGTAGAATTTTGTTGTTAACTGTTTCCCTGTTTCCAAATTAATTTCCGTCCATTCCAAAAATAGTTGTAGTACACAATGAGCAGCTACATTCCAGGAAGGACTGCAAAGCAAGTTGTATTCAAATAACCGGAATTATCCGGATTTATAATAGTTTTCATGTGCTTGCTATGAATTTTAGCCGTTTACTTTATTTTATAATGGGATGTAATAATATTGAGTGTTTTATTAATCCAAGTAGATGAGTTGTTATTGTTATTCTATAAGTTCATTTAAAAATATATCTAACTACATGGAAAATTCAAGTGCTTGGCGGACTTGTTCAGGAAAAGTTCAGTACCAAAACATATTTGTCTTTTGGAAGAATAAAAGCTAAAAACAAAAAATATGGTGGTGCCTTAATATTTTTTGGTGTTAAATCGACAAAGGAAATATATCATCGGCCCAATTGGAAACCGGTTCATGAGATACAGATAAAGCCTTGTAACAGTTAGTAGGACTGCTGAGTCTTAGTTATAAGGTTCGCTTCTGACAGAGTTGTGGGTCAAATGATGTACCACCTTGGCTTGCCACACACACACACGGAATACTAGACAACATTTTGTACTTAGTTAAAAACAGAAACAAAAAAATTCATTCAATGGCCCAAAAATATAAAGTTAATATTTTTTTTGCTTATCTCCACTATCTACGGTATATGTTCTCCAAAGCTTTCCCAAGAACTAGTGTGTACGTAGGAACATTACCAAGAAAAGTTCTTGGGAACACATGTGGGTACGTATTTATTTATTTATTTCTTGATCAAATAACAAAACTAAACACGTAGGAACATTCCCGAGAACTACCTATATATACTACTATAACGTAGTAAAATAAATCAGTATGTATGCTACCACGATTAGCAGTTCAGTGAATACGATTGTCGAATAAAATTAGCATAACGCCCCACACTTTACCTTCCTAATGTTGTACCTTGAGACTAAATGATCGAACCTGACTCGCTTTAATAATGAGCTAATGTCTTCTGAATAACTATTGTTACATTTCACTTTAGAATCTTCTTACTTTTTTATGTCATAGGAGCAGACGGATACGTGATGGTAAGCAATCAAAGCCGCCCTTTGACAGAGGAGCAAGCATTGCTGGCCTTTTGGAAATAAGAAAATTTGGGGATTTAAAGATAGAGGATGGAAGGGACAAAAGAAGAATTTGGCTTCCGATAACCTCATTCTCATATCTTGGTTTATTGTAAGGCCGTGGTATCAAATTGGTGGAGCCGGTCCATTATACAATTGAATTGAACTTCAACTTTTATTTTCATCTTATAGACCGGTTTATTTTTAATAAAACTACAAGCGTTTGTCTATATGGCATTGAAAAATTCATGCGCATTGATGATGTATTTAATAGTGAAGATGAGGATCCGAAGCAGGTTTTTGTTTTTAGTGGTACCAAAATCAGTTTTCATTTAATAACAGGTCACTAATTATTGAGAAGAATGGGAAGTCACATTGATATATTTTTATGCAATTATGGGAATAAAATAAATTCAATCTTTTCTGGCTAAAACCATATATTTTTATTGTAAACTTCTATCACTCCTATGGAGACAATTCTCTAGATTTAAACTTTCTACTTCTGTCTTTACAGTAAACCAAGAATTTGAATTAAAAAAAAAACTACTTTACTAAAATATCATTCTCAGGAGCTCTAGCTTAAAAAACATCATCAGAGCAATGAAGTCAACATTTATTTTACACAAAAAAATACAGCAAGAGTTTAACGCGAAAGATAATTTGATCATAATATTTTGTTTCAGCATAATTTGTTTTAAGAGACATTCAATTACGTCGACAGTCACTTATAAATATTGATCAATGTAATTAAAAGTACGTTAAATTTCATTAGTACAAAGATAATAATTGATCTCTATTGAATTACGTAATTAATTAGCTTTCTGCCAACGGTTTTACCTGCGTTCCCGGGATAAAAATTTGTCAATGAGCTATACTTATGACAAATTTTATTGGGATCTGTTCAGTAGTTTTGGGTAATGGGGTTACAATTATACAAACTTCCAAGGGTCAACACTTTATCTTAGTTACTTAGAAGTAAGTATTTATTTTCTTATAATAAGTGCACTTTATAATTTAGTATGTTTTTTATTTGGATTCGATTCGAAATTTAAAAAATAAAAACAATTCTTGGCTCAACCATTCCAGGGTTTTCTGTCCAGTATATCTAGACCTGCAAAACAGTGAAGAAGTAACACAGTGAAACTAAGCAACCGTCTACCTGGAGTTTTGGACAGTTTAATGTTCCTATGAATCTTAGCAAGCAGAAACTTTGTATGCAAGATCAGGAAATATTAGTGGAATTGTTTTTGTCTTTTTATTTATTCTAATATTTGATTTTTTAATATCGGCAAGGTTTTGGAAGTAGCGGAAAATATTTGACTATAGATTCTACTTTTAGTGTTATTGGATTGGTCGGCAAACGAGCTACCGGATTACCTGATGGTAAGCAATCAGCGCCGCCAATGGACACCCGCAACAACAGAGGAGTTACGATTGCGTTCTCCTTTTGGGCATTAGGGATTTGGAGATTCTGGGATTGGGGGAGGGGAAGGACTGGGCCTTCGGTAACCTCACTCCCACGTCCGACGGCGAAACACAACGCTGTGGTTATTTTACGCCGGTTTTCTGTGAGGCGGTGGTATAACTCCGGTCGAGACGACCCATTCGTGCCAAAGCATAGCTCTTCCACACTTATATTATAGCATAAATTAGTTTATGCGCGTATGAGTATAGGTATGATGACGATATAACACACATTATGTAATCACAACTTCCTATTGTCAAGAATGAATGGTCCGAAGTCTAGTCACAAATACCCAGTCCTTCTAAACCCGATACGAACTTCAAACACCAACAGATTAAAATCACAAACGGAATCGTCTACAGAATTTAAAGCATAGAAAAGTCCTCGTTATTCTTCACCGAATGTTTAGAATGATATACGTAAGTTCCGCATAAAAATGTCTCCCTTAGCGCTGCCGTAGGTATTGTCGGGCGAATGGATAGCTAGAGGCGTCAATATTCTACGTGACCAGTTACTTGTGTCGGCCACGGAAACATGTGTCGGAAGTGAGGACTATCTGTTTGCTCATAGAATGGCGATCACACTGTTGAATTATTCGCGTGTACGTACGCGACAGGATGCGGATTATATGGTGCATTCGATCCGTTTATGTTTTCGTGTAGCTTGTCAGCTACTTGACAATTTTCTTTTAGCGCCAAAACTTACAGGGTACTACTAAATAATTTTCTTATTGCCTCAATGCTAACAGTAATTTATGTGTTTAACGTCAGTATTACGTTTCTACATAAGAAAAACAAATGGCACACTAATGTCCCAGCCGAAATAACAAGAGAAAATAATATTCATATTATTTCATTACTATTTTGGAGGTTAAGACAAATAAGCGACACAAAAATAATAAAAAAATATACAAATCAATCATTATAATATAGAATAAAATATTTTCTTCATAGCAAAAGTAAACAATAACAAAAAACGGTCGATAGTCTAGAATGAAAAAATATGAAGGGAAAAATTGCCAATGTTTAAGTTATTTAAAATAATTAAAACGTCATAAGGTTTTACCAGATAAGATGCATTATAATCAGTATTAATTACTACAACAACATAAATATCTACAAACAGTAACATACGCACTACAAACATACATTAAGTCGCTGCTTTCATTCGACTACAATTTGCTCTGAAAGATAAGCTCTTCATGTTTTCCTTTCATTAACAGATCGGGAATCACATCGCTGGGTCCAATAAATTTCAATACATAACGGAGTTAAATTCATTTCGGCCCTTATTTGTTCACGTCCATGTGTGGCAAACGGAATGGGTCAATTGAAGCACCAGAGCAAATGTCGCCAGTCTAAATGTCGTCGATATACACAAGCCTTTCCCGTTCTATATTGGGAACACACAAAATGTCGGCTGGCTTCGGCACCGTGTTAACTCCCAACATTTAAATTTTCAAATATTCATTGCCAATTAAAATATAATTAACTACGAGAAGTGAGTTCCAACGAACGAACAATTGTAAGCGGTAATCGTGCAATAAAATATGATTTAATACGGTCACTCGGAAAATAATTTCGTACTTTTGTAAGGCAGATTGAAAACTACAATTATACAGGCAGTAATCTGACGTTTACGTGTCTAGCACATTCGCATATTGTTGAAATGCAGAGGGAATTCTTCGAATATCTCAGCGGAAATGATTCCACGATCTCGTAGTGAATATCAAATGTCCGAATCGTACAGACGTTCGGAAAGTAAATAGAGTTGGATTTGTATAGGTCGGGAGATCGCACTGCCAATAACCGACCAATGCTGGCGTCGATACCAGCTGAAATCGTAAGTACCGGCCCGACCAACTGATATTTGTAAATTCTATGGTAATCCGACTCTGAGCCTAATCCTACTTTCCATTCAAAGCGGTCGAAATAAATTCTAAAAACAATAGACGGTTATTTGGTTGTTGCGTTCATTGGGGGCGTGTACAAAGGGCGCTGTCGCATTATCTACGCATTGGTATCATCAGAAATTGTACAGTGATTATTGTACGTATAGTTGTAACTTGTTAAATTAATCCCGTATTTTAGTA